TGGGTTTGTCAACTTTTTCTCCTAAACTTAAGTGTGAAAATACATAATAATCTTCACTTTAATCAGCTGTTTCATATTACCATTATATCACCTATCACTATGTCCTGGTTTATATGGGAAATAAATTGACAATTATATAAATATATGTATTATTTTGGGGGCGCTGTAGACCAAAGACTGGATGTTAGTGAGTGAGGAGACATCTACGGTCGGTCCAGTCTGACAGTTAATATGAACTAAAACAAGTCTACTGCGCCAGTCTGACAGTTACCACGAGCTAAAATATGTGTAACTGTCAGTTTATCACACTCCAAATAAGCCACAGTGAATATTATGTAAAATAAATACAAAGACCGTGTGTATATTCAGTGACCTTAAAAATCTCTTCCCACAAGCTCGGCACCGGAGAACAATCATATACAAATACGGGCCAACAGGATTCAATCTCTTCCAGCAATTTGCATTCATTACATTTCTGTTTACGCTCGCGACAAGCTTTATTTAAGGCTCGTTCTACTGTGAATAAAGGAGGGGATACTCTCTCTGTGTCTTAACCTTACGTCACCTGCAGTCGACGTCGAGAGCCTTATATTTACGGTTCATGGTTAAGTGGCTCAACTTGGCCCTCCGAGGACACACACATCACACCATTAAACAAAAGATGAGTCATCATCCACAGTGAAGATCCCCCGTTACCAGTAAAGTGAGGAGGAGGGGTAAGGGAAGGGTGACACCGGCATTCCTGTTACTATCACAAACATCCACACTCGTGCCCGGGGAGTTAACCAGTGGATGCCAGGCAACACCCGGGTGACGCTGAAGACCTGTGTGTGTGTGTGTGTGTGCCACTTGCCATGCCGTCCTCCTCCTCTTGGTTCAGGGACATTCTCCTGTGGTCTTACTGTAGTTAGGGAGGGGAGGTGTTGCTGTGTTCTATGCGGGGAAGGGAGGGGGGGGTGTTGTCTTCTATAGTCTTGCAGTCACTTTTACTCTTAAGGGAGGAGGGAAAGAGGGGTTCTGATCTGTTGTAGTGAGCTTCCTGTAAGGGAGTAGACTGTCATGGTCTTCCTGTTAGAGGTCTTAGTAGACTTAACTCCCACGGTTCTGCAATGATGATGTGTCCCAGACTGACAAGTAAATAATACCACAACCATCAGGATATAACACCCACACGTCCTTAACCCACGTCTCTTACCACAAGTCTGACCACAGAGACGAAGAAGTTCTTGCCACCTGAGGCCTGGCGGTATCAGCATTCTGAGGTCCACTGATAAGGAAGTAAACCAACCACTCGTTCGATCTGGCAGAAAAGCCAGTGTTCGAGGTCAGCCACCGAGGACAACATACGCAGTTCCTGAGACACTATAGCGGGTGTGGAGAAGACGAAGAGCAGAAAAGTTGAAACAAACAGCTGTGGTCCCGGACGAGGAGGAACTTAGTCACCGGATGATGGCCCTCAATATATACAACGTCTACCTTGACCTACGTTCACACTATGTTTAAAACTATATTTACATTTAACCGAATTTAATATATAAAAGGCGAGACGCCTAAGAGAATTAATATTTTTTAAGCCAAAGTACTGAAATAATACTGGACAGATTAATACTTTCCATGGACGGCCAGTATGACATAACACACAGCTATAAAACAATAAAATACAAGGCGGTAAACGTATAGAGTGAAACTTACGATCATTCGCTTTATATACACAATCACTCTATCAGCGGCAACAAGACTAACCCAGACGAACAAGACACTGCTGGTGGGAACACGACTTTAAATGATGTTCTTCTGGGAGGATCAACGAGCACAAAACTGAACACACAAGTTCCTCGAGCAGCAACACGCGACCAGCATGGCAGGGGAGAGATAAGGAGAGGAATGCTCGTGTTGAACAGCAAATGGGTCAATATGATGAAGCAGATAAGTGTTTGGGCTGACCGAGTAGCCGCGCTCAGTGAGAGTGTTGCGGGTATTTATCGTGGAGTAAACAATGGGGAAAATGTTGTTGTCGCTGCCACCAAGCCCTGGTAATGACGTGTCCCGGTGACAGTAATCACTGATTGCAAAGCTCGACCACTACAGCCGCCGCTTCCGCAACTGTGGAAGTGGAGGTATCCTTTACCTCAGTGTGGGTGAGGACGAGCGTACAGTACCGCAGCTGTCTCTGCTTCTCACGGACGACTGGAATATGCAAATATTTTCATCGCAAAGGAGTAAAAAACCTCTTAACCTTGAGTAGACTCACTCAAAAGAAAATGTTGTCAAATGGGAGTGAAACCACGTAATTACGCGAAACCAACTTACTGTACAGGAGGAACCATTACAATACGAGGACTCCCTGTGAGGTACAGGGAGTCGCCTCCAGAAATTGTCAGCAGTCAGAGTAAGGTAGAGCAGCCATCAACTCTCACAACACAGTGGAGTTGATGTGTGCACTGCCCCACACACACACACACACACACACCGTCACACTGCCACATAATTCAACATAGACAATGTTGAAATTAAGGAATAATATAAATATGGCAAAGAGGCCACAGAATCGTGCAGTGTGTGTGTGTGTGTGTGTACATGGCGTTATTGAGAGTGTAAACAAAACTCCATTTGAGAAGGAAGCTGTAAATTGTGAACATGTCAAAAAGGTAGTGGAAACGAGGCAACATATTTACCCAGGCGTCAGGGGGAACAGGTACTCACGAGGCGTTGATATATATACACAACACCAGTGACCCGCGACAGGCCGCCCACTACACCCACCACATATCATATGAAGTCACCAGCCAGAGAGAAAATCTTACTCTGACACCACCAACGGTAATGCTAGCGGTGCTACACTAACAGGGATCTTACACCTGCAGTTAGAGATACTGGTACGGTGCGTGTTCCTATATAACTTTATCGCATCTGACTTAATGAAATTATGGATGCCTTGTCATTCAAGAATTCTTATATATATATATATATATATATATATATATATATATATATATATATATATATATATATATATATATATATATATACTTTCCATTTTCTTATTTTTACCTCCCTGGCGCGCGCATAAAGCAAATCAGCATCCAAAGTGCCTCTCGAAGAAGGACTCGGGACCACCTCACGTGAGTCTCAACGCTCAAGACACTGGATGCAGTAGCCATGTAAGTACATCCCAAGATAAGACGGATTGAGAAACGTTACACACACGACAGGATTTATAAACTGTTCACCGTCGAGTCAATTATCAAGACACGAGAAGATATTTGCCCTACGTCTTAATACGGCAGGAAAATTCGAGAAATAAATGCAGTGTTCGCTGTAGCCTATCAGCCCAGACGTAATCAGTCACATACAGATGAGCGCTTCCCGAGGGCTAAAACGGGGTGTGGGGCGCCTCGCTCCTGCTGGTGGCCCCGAGAGAGAGAGAGAAAGAGAGAGAGAGAGAGAGAGAGAGAGATGCGCTGGGAGGAGCAACACATGTGGGATGGGGGGGGTTGGTCGTAGGACGGGCTGTTTGAAAGTGACTGTTTGTGTTGATTAACTGAGAGAGTGACTGGGTGGACTGGCTCTGTGGAAAAGTGATTGGTGGTGATGGGGGAGTTAGATTGAGGGAGAGTAACTGAGGGAGGGTGAACTAACTGTTGGAAACTGACTGGAAAAATGACCGGATGGACTGACTATGGGAGAGTGACTTGGAGGACTAACAATGAAAAAGTGATCGACAGGATTGGAATAATTGTGAGAAGGTGACTGGAAGGGATGAAGTGGCTGAAAAAGCAATAGTTTATGTGAATTGACCAAGAAAGTAACTGGTGTAAGGTGGGGTGACTGTATGGTTAACTGGGGGGGGTGACTTACTGTGATAAACTGTTAGGTAATTAGGTAGAGGAATTATCGCGAACGAGTAGATGGTGGGCTGATTGTGGTAAAGTGGACAAGCAGGTGGTGGAATGACTGTGGCACTCAAACTAATAACCTTCTGTTGATGTGAAGATGAGACGGACTTGAAGTATAACGAACGAGGAGGCAGTGAGGAGAGCATAAAGAGGCGAGTAAAGACAGGAGAAATTTGCAGTGAGGCAAAGGTAGCGTGGGAGGGGGAAAGAACAGGAGGGAGGGAGCCGACAGTAGTAACAGTGTTGGTGGTGTGTACAATTGTGATGGTGAGTGGACGGTGCAGCTAGTGGTGTACGCGGCTACGTGGCCAGAAACAGTTGTGAGGATGGGTGAAAGGTTGGCTACGCGAGGTACGAGTAGCTAGGTATCGGAATACAAATAAACATCAGTATGTAGGAGCAGTTAGCGTAGGGTATGGCTGTAGGGAGAGAGGGAAGGAGGTAACGGGACGAACACTCTAGCGAGGTGTGGCGTAGGAGATGATTATGTAAGTATTCTACTAAACATCGTTCACACACACACACACACACACACACACACACACACACACAGGCTGTATGCTTGAAATTATTATGAATATGCTCATGCCTTCACTCCCTCCATGGTTTAATAACTTATAACAGTAACTTTATAATAGCATAACAGAATTACTGCTGCTTTTATATTTATACATCACGAAACAAGAGTGGAATAAATTTCAAAACACACAAGTGAAAAATCAGAAATTATATAAAATACATATCAGCCTGGACATGCAAATTTGATAAGAAAAGAAGCAATGTTTAATATCATCAGTGCAACGTCAAAATTGCTGCATAACCTCTGACAACTCATGATTTACGTTTTCCTTTATACCACTACAACTACTACCACCACCACTACTACCACCACCACCACCACCACTACCTGAATTAGGATATTTACACACACTTATGTTTATTCGGGATCATTTTCAAAGTAAAAAAAAAAAGAAATCCTTATACTGTATAGACTTTCTGAATTAAATCTTACGCTTATGGATGTTAATTAGAGTTGTTTATACACGTGAGTGTGGCTGGTGAAGATACTAACAGTGATAATTTCCACCGTGATCTTCTACACAGTGTTACTCTACAAGAGAGGCGGGCGGGAGCTGCTCAAGCCTCGGGGTGTGGTGGTCGGTGTTCAGCATGATGATGACGACGCTTACCACAAACAGAAGAACAATCTACACCTGCAGGATGTGAAGGCCAAAACAGCCAAGAATGTTGAATTAGGCGTGGGTGTTAGGGTGTGTGAGTGGGCGGGGCAGGCGAAGGTCGCGACCCCTGACCTGGGACGGCCAAGGGGCTGCCTCTTGAATATTGATATCCAGCCCCTAGATACCTTGAAAGATAGGAACAGCACGATATCAATCACAGTCGCCGATCATTATATGGGAGTAGGGGCCCGCTGCTGCCTCCACCCTCACCCCAACAACCGGTGCTGGAGGAGGAGGGAGGGAGGGTGACGCGAGAACTGTCTTTACACCCTCTATGCCAAAGGAGAGGAAGGAGCTAGCTCTCTCCCTACCTGTAATGCTGGAATATAGTATTTACACCCTCCAGCACACGTCCTAACTCTCCCATAAATCAAAGGTAGGGGTTATCTACACATCTACACCTCCTGTGCTGCTGGGGGCTAGACATCAACCAACACGCCTCAGGGACTTGGTGAATACTCGCACTTCCACCGGGACCACTAAGCTAGTGGCTAAGTTTTACAAGTGTGTATACTCTGGATTGGTTACGCTCATAAGCAGTGATATAGAGAGAGATTTGGACTCTCCGCGTCCTTATGTGTGGGACGAACTTTATGCCTTCAACACCGCGACACCCAGCATGTTTAATTCAGTTACTGTACCTCGTACACGCATATATTTTGACTGCCTGTCATTCCCTTCGTAGGATTTGCATACTATTACCGCATCGAATTGTACGAGGAGTTGCATGACTGTGTATATCAACATTACTTCAGGAGCAAGCGTAGGGAGACCCAGGGTGGCCGCGAGAGAGAGAGATGAGAGAATGAACTCTGCTTTATGTGTCAGGGCATCTTGAGGGCCACGCCACACCTTGACTGATGCTTTCTACTACTTGTTGTTGTTGTCAGTGAGGGAGTGGCCCGACTCTCACCACAACACGTTATCACTACAACCACCACAATCACCACAACCAGTCACAACTGATGCTGTAGGTCACATCATGTCCGTTCACCGCAAATTACCATTATCAGACTTTAGTATATGAACTCACCACTGAAATGTTCACAAGTTTCCGAGAGTCACCGCATCAAGTCACGTAAAGGAGCCTCAACTCAACACTAGAAATCACCGAAATGTCACCATTAAAGGACAGCACAAGAGTTCATCATAACCAGTCATTACAAGAGGCCACCAGTACAAGTCACCACCATTAGATAACCCTAAAACCCATGCAAGGTACAAGAGACCACCAATTCTTTCAACCCAAATTCACCACAAAAGGTCACCATTATAAACCACTGCAAGTCACTTAACACGCAAGGTAATCGCAGAAAATCACCATTAAAAGGTCACTATTAAGAGTGGGGCACCAGAGGTCACCACAACAGTCACCACTCCCAGGCAGCGTGGACTCGCAAGTGGGGCGCGGGTGTCAGGTGTCAGATGAGGCACGGATCACTTCTCCTGTTTACGACGCCAGTGTGAAAGTCAGTATATAACTCTAAAAATCTGACATTTACTGTTGTGATTAAGATAGCAAATAATGACATGGTCAAAATGGATCCTTAGCTCATTTGAGTTCACTCTTACAATACTGTGTGATTATATCAAGACACACACACACACATATATATATATATATATATATATATATATATATATATATATATATATATATATATATATATATATATATATATATATATATATATATATATATATATATATACATGAATAAGAAAAGAATATATACATCTAATACGAGTTTTCTTGGATACTTCTACTTCTTATTCATTTAAAAAAATATAGTTTCCCTGTATTTTATAATTGTTTTATCTGTCAAATAATTAATAATTATCATCTTTTTTTTTCTCGTAACAAACGAGTAAAATTCCTTTATTTTGTCTCATTTTCTTAGTACTTTATGATCTCTCGGAAACAAGTTTGCCCCTGGTGCTGCCAGTGTCTGTGTTCGTCTGACAACCTTCAGGTCTTCCTCTGGTGGTCTGACATCAACCAGTCTATCTCTGGTGGTATGGCAGCAACCAGTCTCTCTCTGGTGGTCTGACAGCAACCAGTCTCTCTCTGGTGGTCTGACAGCAACCAGTCTCTCTCTGGTGGTCTGACAGCAACCAGTCTCTCTCTGGTGGGCTGACAGCAACTAGGTCTCTCTCTGGTGGTGTGACTGCCTGCAGGACTTCCTCTGCACCACGCCAGGCTGCTCCACTGCGTCACACTCACCCTCAGCCCAATCATCGTCATAACCACACCAATGGGGTGTGAGTGTGCGGGTCTAGGCATGACAGTTTCCATACAATACCTGGAAGTATTTTCATGATGGGGTAAATTACGGGATGTTCCGGGCGGTTATTGAGCCATTTTTCAATCAACCGCTAAGTAAAGAGTTTCACAAACCAAATTGGTATGTTTGCAATGAGCTCATTTCACGGAATCACCTCCATACATCACTTCACTCTCGGGCTACACCCCCTGAGATTCCTGTCGCACCCAGGGTAGGTTAACACAGCCCTATGTATCCGAGTTCACTGCCGGCATACCAATGGGTAAAATCAGCCAAGTAGTAAAATAGTTTAAGCACAGAAGGGGGCACAGATGACGATCAGTGTACGGAGCCACAAATAGGTATTTATGGGCAGAGGTTTGGTGTAGTGAGGTCCCGGGCTGGTGTTTAATAGCTTGTAAGGTGGAGTAAATGTGTTGCCTAGCTCACCCAACCTGCCAACTGTTGCCACGACTGACTTGTAATGCTGGGGTAGTGCACCCAACAACGCCACCACCAACACTAACAACACCACCCACAACAACGCCAACACCACCAACACTAACACCACCATCACCACCACCACTCACAACATCACCACTAATAATACCACCACCACCACCGCCAATAATAGCACCGCCACCAACAACAACACCAACACCATTACAAACACCACCATCACCACCACCACCACTAACAGCAGCAGCACCACCACCACCTCCACCTCCATCAATACCACCACCAACAACACATACAGAACCACCACCTGAGTAACAAGACCTCCCTGGGGTAGTAAGACACTGCCCTGAGTGCAAGAGGTGCAAAGGTTCAGGCGGGTGACACCGAGAGATTATCAGAACTATCACCATCGGACACCAAGACCACACGACCACACGCTGGGACCCTCGTTAACTATTGATAACCGCATGACGTGGGGGCGAACCCATTAGTAGTTACCAAGAACACTATTTAACGACTACAAGATATGAAAGTCATCAAGACGACCATTACGACCTTATGTGGTAGTCGTCCTCTATTGGTCACCGGGAGCATCCCCACCACGCAGGACACGAACGACCTCAGGGAGTGATACGAGTCGTTCACCATCCAGCACCAAGAAACACGCTTAGACATGACACTCATCACATCAAGACATGACATTCATCACTTCAAGACTTGACACTCATCACTTCAACACATGACACTCATCACTTCAACACATGACACTCACTTCAACAAGAGAAATAAAGACACACCACATAAGACGTTTCCTCTACTCATAAAAAAAATAACCTGCATACGACCTACCACTGTCACTTCCCAGCTTATCACCTAATGTTACCTGTTGTATAATTACCTGATATAAACATTACTACAGTATGATAATTATAAATAATCATATCAGCACGCATATTATATCACGACAAAATTATATACCCTACGTGTATAATTCACCGATAATTAAAAACGAATCCCACGGAATATTTTCCCGTCCAAAAATATTAACCACAAAAATATTATCCAGAAATATTATCCACGAAAAATATTATCCCTAGAAATATTACCCACGAAAAATATTATCCCTAGAAATATTACCCACGAAAAATATTATCCCTAGAAATATTATCCACGAAAAATATTATCCCTAAAAATATTATCCACGAAAAATATTATCCCTAGAAATATTATCCACGAAAAGTATATCCCTAGAACTATTACCCACGAAAAATATTATCCCTAGAAATAATAACCACGATAAATATTATCCCTAGAAATATTACCCACGAAAAATATAATCCCTAGAAATATTACCCACGAAAAATATTATCCCTAGAAATATTACCTACGAAAAATATTATCCCTAAAAATATTACCTTAGGCAAGAATATATTATCCCTAAAAATTATTACTCTTAAAATTTTATCCCCCCCTAAAGCATGAGCAATTTATTCGTCATAATTTATGTTAAGTCCGATGATGATTATAAATATATAAAGGCTGAAGCTGCTCAAGGAATGTTTTTTGTAGTGAAATAGAAACACGAGTTAAGATGCTTGACCGACACGACAATGTAATACAATGAACCTGTCAATGGCAACCTGTAATATTAGGAGTTAAAAAGAAGTTTACATATATTTTAACGTCTAGATGATGTTAAAAACTGAATATATTAACACTCGGGCAAGCTACCAGACAACAAATATTAACATTATCTTACAGCCTAAGATTTTACCTTAATAAATACAGTCATGAATCAACGAATGTCTCTCCCTACACTACGGCAGTCAGGCAAATTCGAGAGGAAGATGGATGGCAGACACACCGAGGGATAAATACAAGGATGGCAGACACCCTTAGAAATAAATATAAGAGTGACAGACACACGCTGATGGCTGAATATAAGGATGGCAGACACGCTTAGGAATAAATATAAGGATGGCAGACACCCTAAGGAATAATTATGTGGATGGCAGACACACACATAAGAGTGACGAGGGCTGGAGAAGAAGCGCAGGTTCAGCAGGTGATCACAAGGAGCATTTCACAAAACACGTTCCTCAAGTGGTCTCCTCTGCCTTGCCTAATTGGGGAAGGCTGTGAACGGGAGAGCCGGTTGGCGCCTCGTCTGTCTGTCTTTCTGTCTGTTTGCCTGTGTGTGCCTGCCTGTCTCTCTGTCTGTCTCTCTGGTCAGCTGTAGCACCTCCTGTTCCCCTCCTCCTGCTCACAGCCTAACAGCCCACGTCTATGTTACAGG